CCCCAAAACCCCAAAACCCCTTCAATCTAAATTTTAAACATTTGGTTTAAACTAATACTTAAAATTCAATTTACTTATCCTTAATTGATCTTTAATTCATTAATCCACAAGCTACCATTGGATAATCTTAAAATCAATAGTATGACTGGTATATTTTATTATCATCACCTTCATCACTTGTTCCCAATATCAATTCCTCGTAGGTTTTCCTTCTCATTTGAAGTTAATGCTTTTTATAGTGACTAGAATACACTGAATTTGCATTACCTGAAGCTTAGTTATTAGTGCCGTTGTTACTATTGTTTACCTATTGTGTCTGATTCTATATCTGATTTAGCTCTTCTTCCTCACTTTCAAATCTTTCGTGTCTTTTGCCTAGAATAGCTTCTAAAGTCAAATTACTGTTAAGATTTCTCTTCCTTTTCAACTTCATTTTACTCAAATCGATCTTTTACTTTCTTATCTTGTTGATGCAACTTTGAAGAATTATGTCAAATACAGCGTATGGTCTTTCTCCAATCTAACTGCTGAAATGGTCATTATCATCTGCCTCTTAGATGTGCTAAGGATCCTAGTCCTTGAAAGCAACAAGCTTAGAGTTAGTCTGACTTAAAAACCAAATATACCGACTGCCTGTATTGTCAACAGCGTACTTCTCAAAATTTTTAGAACCGTAAATCAGATCTCTGTTTACCTCCATTGCATAGTCATACATCTTTGTCTGTTTGTTTATACTTAGATTTGCTTTGCCAACTTTAGCTACTTAAGGTACTTATTCAGCCAAATCTGAGTATATAAGATTCAAATCCAGATCATGATTATGATATGACCTATATCTGTGCAGAAAATATGTTCCAAGCCTCTTTAACAGCATCTAGCTAGTTTCTTATTGAGTAGTTTCGTCTAAATAAGTTGAAATCTCGCTCTCAAGAGTCCTATCATATACAACTTGAAATGGGCAGGTTATTGTTTCTAAATTAGATTGTGAGTTTTGATCTTCATGCCGAATCTTGCAAATCTTAGTACAAGTAAACTGTATGCAACTATAGGTTAGGTTATGTGGATTCAGTTTAAAACCTCTTTATATAGACAGCTGCTTTACTTTTTATATCAATGAGTCCCTATTATTTAGTTCTTAAATGTCGTTTGCAAAATCTTCAAATTCTGGAGTATCAACAGTCAAATCAGATTGATACTTTCGCTTTAAATTTGGACCCATATTAAAAGGCACTGGAGTTAAAGGAAAAAAGGGTACAAAATTCCTCAAGTGTTAAACCTCCATTTCCTCCTTTGAGTACCTCACGAATTGAAAAGGTTTTGATGCATCCTCTTCACCTTGTTCCGTTTTAATCCTTTAAAATTGCTATTTGTTTAGAATATTTTCAGGCTTGAATTTCGAGTTTGGAATAGGACTCAAAATTCCATTATAACTTTAAATTTGCTTAATCAACTAAGGATTAATTTTGACTTCTTTGTTAGTTTCATCTTAGTAAGTAAAACTAGACTAGGCTGTTGAAGCCTCTTCTTTAATGCACTCATCTCTATTTTGAACTATAGTTTAGCATTTCTATTAGAGCTCAACTAACTACTAAACTTTATTAAACAGTTGGTCTTTCCCCTATCCTTATTTTTAATTTAAATTGCTGGAGTTTGGTTTTTAATTTATCAATTATTGGATATTTTTTTATGCTTCAATTTTTTCGTAATTTGAATATTCTTCACCCAGAGAAGAGTGTCTATTGACTTCCTCAAATATAGGTTTAATTTACTATAGCTATTATTACAATGTCTATTTCTACAATAATACTTTCTCTGTTGTAGTTGCATTCGATTTGTTATTTTAAGAATTTTGACTTGCTGGCTTAGAACTCTGTTTTGGCTTAAAGATATCAGCTTAGGCTTAATTTCGATTTTGAGATTGAGGTTAATTCTAATTACTCTTAGCCTAATTTGCTAGTTAATCTTAATTAGCTAATTTTTGTAGATCACTTTTAAGAGGAGCTAGATCTGTCTTAGCAGGAGGAATAGCTGTCGGTAATTAAGGTACTATCTATTGAATTTACTTCTAGGGCTCTATCATTGCTTCAACTACTTTTAATATATATCTCTGCCCATCTACTAGCTATCTCACATCCATTATCACTTCTATCTGATCCATAGTCATCAATGTTATAGGATTTTAGACTTATGTAATCTTCACTATTTCGTAAAACTTATACTTAAGCTGTATATTTTAAGCAACTTGACAGAGAATATCATTTACAGAGGTAATTATAGGACTTGAAGCCAGTAACTGTTAGTAGATACCCTAGAGCTTCCAAGATTATATCTGATTAGGATTTGGTATATTGAGTGAAACGTCTATTCCTAGTTCCTGAATGTTAAGAAATATTGTCATATCTGGGAACTACTTACGATAAGCGAAAACTGAGACAGGATCCTATAGTAAGTTAATCATGTTGGCATAAGTTCCTTGCTACTAATAAATCGTAAGTTGCTGCATTAACAAATCAATGTTCCAGTATTTTTACAAGTTCAAGAATGTGATATTATTTAGATATAGCATCGCTTTACTTATTCAAAATTTGATCTGATCTAAAGGTAATTTAAGATTAATATATTTATGTAAAATTATGATTTAGCCTTTTCGATTTTACTCTTGGGGTTTTGGGGTTTTGGGG